AATTAAAGCTTTTTATTGATAACATCCATCAAAATCAAGATAAAGAGTCAAAAAATTCTTTGCTATAAAGCAAAGTAAGCCCAATGGAGATTTCATTCTATCTTGTATCATTCTTTCTTTGAATGTTTTAGTGCTTAGGAGATAGAGAATCAATAATCAATAAATTTAATTCAAGAGGTATCATTTGTTAAGCTATCAAACAAGACATTGCGACTATTACAACCTTCAAGATAGTAAAATCGAGATGAAGATCCTCAAAAATGACATGTTCTTCCTTGAATAGATGGCAAGATACAATGCATTTGGTACCACGACCTTGGAAGGGACTTCTAGTGTTTAATGATACTTTTGGAGATAAGTCCACTCTTCATGGTATTACTAATATTTTATTTGAAAAAAGTTATGAAGGCCTCAATAATGATCAAATATTAGGGTGGTCTTTATGCTCTAATATGAAATATTATCAATGGTTGAAGGGACCTATTACCTATCTTTGAAGGAAACAAAGATTAGAGTATATGGCAAATATGATTTGGCACATCTTGGACTTCATCTACATATAATCACCACTCTTCATAGAACTCGTCTCTAGAAGGGGAGATAATGTGACGAACATACATATTTATCTTGATAATTATTTAGTTAATAAGAATAGGTAGAAGTAAGTCAAAATAGATAAATATGATATTATCTTGTGGATAGCTTCCTAAAAGCTTCATAGATGTTACTTTGCCTTTATACATGTCTATAGGTAATTAATAGGTTAAAAATTTGGCCAACAAGGAGGCTACATGTCAATATGTTGACCACTTGTAGTACAAATTGGACATATGGCGCACACCTAAGAAACTTGCATTATAAATTAAACAAGTGTCCTAGAAGTTGGATGCATATTAGCGGTCTTATAGCATATTACCACATATTTTTTAGTTAAGTAGTATATATAAAAACAAGAATGAGGCCTTTCTCACTCTTGTCAATTCATTTTTTTGCTTTTTAGTCTAGTTTCAAGAGTCTTATGTTTTCAAGTCTTTGACAATAGCCATTCTAGTTCTTTCTTGAATATACATACTTTCTTCTATTTTGTTACTTTTCTTTTGACACAGATTCCACAATTTTATGCATCTTCATCCAATTTGTGTCTTTATCAATATTAGAGCTATATACAACAATCAAGGTATAATTAAAGGAACTTCAAGAATGACAATAGATCAATATAGATATCTATTATTAAAAACAACCTGAATTCTATATAAACTTTAAAGTATGTTTATCTTATTATAATATTAAGAATAATTACTCTTATGATAAATTAGATTACTATAATTATCATTTTACTTATTCTATAAATTCTTTTAAGAATAAACCTATAGAAGAGGATTCGAACTCAAGGAAAGACTAATCACATGAGCTTACAAGTTAGGGTCATTCAACTAATTGTAGTCCGAACCACTAAAATATTCAAACAATGCTTGTTTTCAATAACAATACTCCTTTATCAATTGATAACCACAATGTGCAATCCTACACTCTCAAAAGATTACTCAAAACACATAAATTCTATCCAACACTAGGAATAACAGACTTCTTCTAACCAATCTAGATTCACAAAAATTTTGTAATAACAAACTTCTTCCATCTAAATATACATACACAACTCTCAATAAACAACAATCATAATCTTTCATCCATAATCAATTTTTCAATAACTTCTCATATAATTCAATCACATAATACTTCAACTACATAATCAATAATCCATAAATCAATCTCTGATTTATTCCATAGACTCACTTCTTAGTATTTAAAAACTATCCATTACTCTTCAACAACAAAGAAACAAAGAGGTAGCACCAAGCTTACTCCAGCTCATAACTATCATAGTCTAGTCTCCAAACTAACTTCTATAACTCTTATATACTTACTCCCTATTCTCAGATTCTAACCGTAGTTTTGTAATAACCACTTTTAATAATAAAGTTAATCATTTATCTTCCTGAACTAACTATTCTATAGACTATTAGTCTATTTTACCAATATCTTACAAAAACGAATTAATATTTGTTCTACAATTACCCTAGATTTAGACCATTTCTTATTTGAAAATTGATCAATCTAGTTGCTTATCAATTATATCTATATGAATCTATAAAGATCCAATATATCTTCTCTATGTCTTTTTTTGAGCCATACAAGACAATGGATATACAAAAAAGAAAAAAATGTCACCTCATCTTATAGAAGTGGATAATAATTAAAAAAAATCTTAGATTCAAGGAAGCCCCATAATAGGTTGAAATATCTTAAAAATTGGCATAGATATAATATTAATATAAATACATAGAAGACATCTAAGAATCTTATAAGTATAGTAGAAAAGCTCAAAGCTTTTCATCGACAACATCTATCATAACCAAGATAATAAGTCAAGCAATTCTTTGTTATAAAAGAAATAAAATTCACAAAAGCTTGTATTCCATCATCTATTCTAGATTATAGTTTTTATTATATTTGTAGTTCTATAGAGATGGAGAATCTACAACCACAAGATTTAATTTAAGAGCTATTTTTTGTTAATTTATTAGATGAGACATTGCAATTGTCACAACCTCAAGACAATGTAATAAAGATAAAGACTTTTAAGAACAATATGTTTTCTTTTAAATAGATAGTGAGATAAAACTTGTTTAGTATCATGACTTTGAAAGAGACTTCTAATACTTGGTAATACTATTGGAAATAAAAACTAGTCTTGATGGTATTCCAAATGTTTTATTTGAAGTTGTAAAAGCCTCAATAATGATTAAATGTCAAGGTGGTCTTCTTGCCTTGGTATAGAAGCTTATCAATGGCTAAGAAGATATATCAACTACCTTCTAAAGGAATAAAGATCAAAACATGTAGAATATACAATTTGTCACATCTTTAACTTTCTCAGCATGTGATTACTGTACTTTTGTAGAATTCATTCTCTCATGGCTCATGTAAGGATATATAATAGAAAAATACTTAAATTGTTTCTATTTTTTTTATTCTTAGTGTCATTGCATTAGTATCATTAGCAACAATTATATTTCTTGTGTTCTAGGAAGGCATGTGTGTATGTCATGTTTGTAGAAGTTTCATAATTTTGGATGTTATAATATTTGTATTGTAATCTTATATTATTACAAGGCTACAATGTGTTAGTAGTTTTTTTATGATGTCTTTTTCTTGATGTTGTAGCAAAGTTGTGGTTTCAATACAATTCCAATGGCGGTTTGGTTTGTAGTAAGAGAAGTGTGCAATGATAATTTCTTTTCTTTTTTCTTTTTTTTTTTCCTAGATAATTGGGTCTAGAATTTCTAGCCCTCTACAACTCCAAATTGTTTTAGTACTCTACATGATACAATGGATATTTAAAGCAATAGTAGTTGTACTCATTGGTAGTTGATTTGTCTCCTTGTAGTGTTGTGGTTTTTGTTTGTTGGAATCATGTTGGCAACTTTGACTTTGGTACTTAATCTTAGTTCTACTCGTGTTGATGATTTGTGGCATTGACAAGGGCTTTGTTCTTATGATATTCTATTTGGAATTCTACAATGTATGGTAGTTAAGGATCGACTTTTTTTTTTTTCTTTTACTTTTTATTCCTGTAGATAGCAATGGTGCCATACTTATTGCATGGCAGCAATTGTTGATAACTCACATTGTCTGTTGTAGAGTAGTTTATCATTGTGGATGTGCTTAGACTAATTGTATTGCAATAGATTAATTGAAGTTATGTTCTTCTCTACTATGGTTGAAATTGTTGAATCTTATTTAACTTTGACTCTCCTACATCACTAGCTTTCCCTTCTTCTTAATTCCATTTTGATTCATGTTTCGAGTAATTCTATGTTGTTATTTTCAATATGCCTAGTGGCAGCCACTCTCTCTCTTTCAATGTTGAGTTGCAGCTAATCGAGATTGTTGCTTGTGTCTTAATTCTCATAGTGATAAAAGCTTTGTCAACAAGCTCCTTTTTTGAGTTTTCTTTTTTTTTTTTCTTTTTTTTTCTTTCTCCCTACATTGAGTTTCAACTAATAAGCGCAAGTAACTTCAAGCATTGCTTATGTAAGAAGGACTTATGCTCTCTTGTTTATTTTTCTTTTATGGATAAGAAAAGGATGTAAGATCATAGTTTTTTTTTTTTTTTCATTACTTTTCTATTTTTTCTTTTTTATGTTAAGTATGGACAATAGTAGCTAGATTAATTGAGCTTGAAGTGTTGTTGTAATTGAATTGCATTAAAACATCTATTTGGCTACAAAGACAATAGTCTACTAGTATTAAAGTAGAGTTGTTGTGAGTAATACTAATTAGTGGTTTATTCTAACTCACTCAATAACTTATCTTGTAATAACAATTACTTACATTGTAATTTAACATCCAACTATGTTCATATTATTTTATTTTTACTTTAATTTGATTAAAATGAAACTTAATAAAATTCACCTATACAAAATCCTTAATTGTTTAGAAATTATCATCCACAAATAAAAATTCATCTTTCAGTAATAACTCATCCTTGAATGATATTTCATTCACAAATGACTATTCATTCTTCATCAAAATTTCATCCTTGAATGATATTTCATTCACAAATGACTATTCATTCTTCATCAAAATTTCATCCTTGAATGATATTTCATTCACAAATGACTATTCATTCTTCATCAAAATTTCATCCTTGAATGATATTTCATTCACAAATGACTATTCATTCTTCATCAAAATTTCATCCTTGAATGATATTTCATTCACAAATGACTATTCATTCTTCATCAAAATTTCATCCTTGAATGATATTTCATTCACAAATGACTATTCATTCTTCATCAAAATTTCATCCTTGAATGATATTTCATTCACAAATGACTATTCATTCTTCATCAAAATTTCATCCTTGAATGATATTTCATTCACAAATGACTATTCATTCTTAATCAAAATTTCATCCTTGAATGATATTTCATTCACAAATGACTATTCATTCTTCATCAAAATTTCATCCTTGAATGATATTTCATCTGTAAATAATAATTCATCCACAATCAAAATTCATCTTTGGGTAAAAATTCATCCAACTTGATTGTCTTCAAATCCTAACCTAACTACATTCATCTCTAATCTAGCTTCATCCAACGTAGAGGTTCATTTCCGTCCACCTTCATCTGCTCACCGACTATGAAGTATGTCAAAGACAAGCCTGAAGCAGCTGCTTCGGTCTTGCGGGATTGCGAATTTGATCTCCTGTAACCTGAACCGTTGCAGCAGTGCCTCTTCGCTGCTACGTGGTATCCGTGGAAATATATTACTTGAGATTCACACCAAACCTTGATGGTCTGGTTGGAGATGCCTTGGCGTCCTCAGTGCAACAATACTAAGGATAGTATTCTCTCCCTTGTATGTAGTTCATAAAATAAATACACGTCTTTGAATTATGTATCCTTCAGGAGCTACCTTCTTCCTTGCTACTGTGACAGATCAATAAATCTCCGACAACACATGGGAGGTATAGCTTGGAACCACCAGACCACCTACGACACTCCTTTGCACTATTTTCCCACTTTGTTATAATCAAATGAGGTGCCTTACGAAATGCTCAAGTTGGATTTTATATCTACAGGAAGTCAAACCTTCTCTCACGACTCCTTAAACTAGCATCAATTAAACAGTTGCACTAGGTTCCGTAAAGCATTCAGAGTTGCAATTCGGCCGCACGATTGTCAAATACTAGAATCAATAGGTCGGCACAAGCCCGCAATATCCTATTCAACAGAAGAAATAGCCACCGCCGCTGTCCAGAGTGGTCGCCTCTTTGCAAGTCACCAATGGAAAAAACTCTACAATTTGCACACCAGGCTGAGGGCTTGCTGCTCTTCTAACTCCACAATGACAAGGAAGAAACAACCACCGCTTGAAAGAATGTCAAAGACGCCAATCCAACACCTCTAGTATACAAAAGATTGAACAAGAGAACTTAGCAGTCGAATGCCACTCTTCACCTTGTCCACAAGCAACACTATGGAGGCATAACCACTTCAAGGATACGGCAAATTAACAAAAATAGATCAGCGCAGAAAGCATGAGAGTTGTCAAAGAGGGGACCTGCAACCCAATTGGAGTGGTAGCTGGCCATAGAACGGCAAAAGAGAACAACCACTTGATTGCTTCCTTCTACAAGTCTGGAATCCTCCCGACTTGTAAGACGAGATCTATCATCAAAATTGATTAAGCGGGCTGCCTCTATAGAAACGCTTGTGGAAGAGCAATAATAAGAATCGAAGAAAGTGAGGACCAGCCGCTCAAGAAAAAAACCCGCGAGACGATACGAGAACAATAGCCAACATTGGAAAAGGTTTGCAACTAAGAACAATTTCACATACCAAAGTAGAGCGAGGTAGACGACAACCCTATCACGACAAGGAACCCGGCTGATAGATAGTCCGCAGCTCCAACCGCAGATGAGAGAAGAGGAATGAAGTTCGAGCCATCACTGCCGGAACAGCTGAACAGTGAGAGAACAATGCCCCTCCAATGAGATTTCTTCAGAGCCGTCGACAGCAGAGGAGAACTCAGCGTAGCCAAGGACGGAATCACAACACGAATCGGATGTCAACAACGCCAAATTAGGAGCTCCAGCGGCCACCGCAGCGCCACACGAAAGATGAAAGTAACACTAGAACAAGACTTTGACGAAGAAGATCCGCAAACGAGGCGAGGGGGAATCACCAAAATTGGCTTATTTGCTCAAAGGGAACCAAGCTGGGTGACCACAATTCCAGCGGTACAACATCAACGGTAAGACCTACCTACATATCCAAAAATGTAGGAGCTTAACAACTATAAAAAAACATGGACAAGACCAGCAGCTAGGAGAAAACCATGGAGCCGATGCCGAACGGGAGTAGAAGTAGCATCTCGCTTGAAACCACAATCGCTTAGAACAGGAACTCGGCAACGTCCAAGTCCAGCAACTAGTATCAACGCTACTAGACTACCAACAAGAACCAGGAGACGAGAGCGACACCGTCGCACACTTGACGATTCCACTGCAGCGCGACCAACAATGAACTCCAATGTCGAAATAAAAATAGGAATAAAAAATCAATGTCGAAACATATTCCTATTTTTATTTGTAATGCACTTATTTCTTGATTTATTCTAAATAAGGAACTCTTCTCAGTTTGAATTACATAGATGTAAAATTGGCTATGACACAAAGACAAATATTATTGGACCTTACATTAATTGAATTAGGAAAAAGTACTCACTTTGGAAATCTGTATGCTAAAATATACAAGATATTACATCTCCACAACTAGCATTCTGTTTTTTTCTATTTATTTAGTATTTTCTACACTAACTCAAAAGAAATCATAATTTTAGGGACAATACGTGCATTTTTTGTCCTAAACTAACAAATGAATCGATTGTGTGACTCAAAGTCGCTCATTGTTGGTTGTGGTAGTCGTCCACAATCCCTAGTTCACTTTGCTATTTCTTAGATTATTGCTATTACAGTGCTTACGTGCTACAAGGTTCTACAATTGATCAAAGTGAGGAATGTTGTGGTCTTGATTTTGGTTACGTGAAAGTGGTTGATCCTTCTGCAAATAATTGTTTCCTTTGTCCTCTTGAGCTAATGCTGTGGCCTTGTCAAATTGGATAATCTTCTTCGGCAGCTCTTGGTTAACATTTCCCATTTTTCAATGACCTATGGCAGTTGCAAAACCTTAAGCTTTAATTCTGATTTTTTAATGATTTACAATGGAGCATTTTTTATTCTTGACATCAATTCTTGCTACAGCATATGCTTCATTGATCCATGTTGCACTAATTCCAACAATTTTACTCTGTGATATTGTGAATTAATCAAATAATCGGAAATTCTAAGCAATAGGGGGTGTAGAGTAGAGCAAATAATTAGAATTAAGTAGCATTTAATGTTAGTTGCAGTCTGAATTGGCTTGCATGAATAGTATATAATCCTTCCAATGCTGCTGTCAGTATTACTTACACAAACTTACTCAGAATTTAAATAAGTCATTGCATTGTTTAAGAGGAAGAAGTTTTGTATTAAAGATTCTCCATCAAAACCAAAAAAAATTAGTTGGAGTGAACATTGACACCAAAGTGGAATCAATTGTAGAAAAACATTTCACGTTAGAAATTAATTCCATTGGATAAAATTTGGATAGATGAATAATTGAGATTCAATGAACTAGGTTAGAAGTTGGATGACATTAAAATTAGGATGAATTTAGAATTTGGATGAAAACTTATCTTGGATGAATTTTCATCATTAGATAAATTCTCTTTTTCAGATGAATTCTTGTTTGTAGATGGATTTTATTCCAAGATGAATTTCTATTCAATGATGAATTATGATTTAAAAATTAGTACTTCTAAAAATTAATGCTTTGCATGTATAAGTTTTATGAAGTCTTATTATTTATTAAAATAAATTAAGATAATTATTAATGGTAATTTAGAGATTTTTAAGTTTTAATGCAAGTAATTGATATAATAAGTTAAATTAAATTCTTGAATGGATTAGAATAAAAATTCATTAGACAAGGTTTATTCTATATCATATATATAGAGAGAGAGAGACAAGATTGAGGCTTTTTTTATTCTTTTTGATTCTTTTCTTGCTTTGAGTGTAATTTTAAAAGTCTCTAGTTTTTTTTATCTTTTAATGATAACTATTCTAGTTTCTTCTTAAATATACATATTTACCTCTTCTATTTTTTCATTATTCTTTGAAAAAAAATTACTTATTTATTTACATTCTTCGGGTTTTTGTCCTTATCCTATACAACAACATTCATTTATGTATAGAGTCCTTTTAAAGGCTAATTCTATCATCTTTTTTGATACTTTAGTGATCGGCATTTGCATTTGCCAATACTAAAAGTATTAAATCTAATTTTTCTATTTTAAAATAGAAAAATATTATAAATTTTTTATTTCTAAATAATTATTCTTTAGTAGGGACCTTTCAAAGCAAAAAACATGCTTATTTAGTCTCAATTTGAGTGGAATCTTAGCAATCAAAACAAGGATTTTGAAAAAAAACATCAAGATTACAAAATCATATGGTTCAAACAAAGTTCATATTCAAATTTTTCTTTTGAGAAGAAAGCAAACCCATAGCAAGGAAGAGCTATGCCTCCTTGACTCTCTTCTAATCATTGCAAATGTCTTGTCTAGTATTCAATATAGGATTCACAAATAAACTAGGCAACTTACCAAAAGTAATCTATTTGTGATATATATATGGCATATTTTACATATTAAGAAGTTAATTCTATAAAAATAAAATTATAGATTTATATCTTTTATTTTAAAAAATTAAAAAAATATTACAATAAGAGATCTTTTAATATAAAATCAACTAATATAACCTTCAAGTATTTGCAATTCTTTCTTATTTAGCCCTTCACAAGTTTTATCAATTCTTGCCAAAGAAGTATATTATATTATCTACTTAAAAATTCTACTTTATTGGTATTTAATCCAATATTCTTCTTACTATCAAATAGCAATGCTAATATCTAAAATAAAACTATTATAATATTATGCAAGTTCTTAAAATTTTGATTCTATAAGTAAAATATTATTTTTTTTAATTTTTTGAAAAACATTTGAAAGTAAATAATTGTACTTTTGTACTTAAAACAAAATGTTATAAGGGATATTATTTTAGGATTTGAATAAAATAGATTTAAAAACGAAAAATAAATTGATAATATTACTACTTAAATATAAGAATTTAAATATAAATACGATTTCTAATGTTAATCTGTGGATGTATTCTAATTTAATTAAATATTAACACTATATTATATTCTTTATATAGTAATAATTTTTTTTATATCTTAAGTGTGATTAGTTAGATTTAATTTGCTAATCTTGTGCTTTAAATATTAAGAAAGTAAATCTTGACTCTACCAAGTTTTACTAATATTCTTAATTATTCATATAAAAAATATTACTTTATTCTTTTCTAACTATTGAATTTTTTTTTGTTAGATATACCATCTTTGATAATAAATTACTTTTTAATATTCTTTTCATGTTAATTTTTTAGTGTCTATTTTCTGATTTTCTTATTTTTTTGAAAATACAAATACATGTATATATATATATATATATATATATTAAATGCTTCTAAACAAGACCTTTTGCAACCATATTAAAAATTATACTTATTCTAATAATTTATATTTATTTGGTTGAAGTAAAAAGACTTCAAGTAAAAATTATACAATATCAAAATTCTCTTTTTACAAATATTATGTATTTTTTACATTAAAAATAACTATTTTAATTATTTTATATTTCCATATTTCTTATTTTTATTTTAAAAATTCAAGAAGTTATATCCTACTCATAAAACATTACTAGAATAGATGAATCATCTAAGTCTTATTTCACTAAGCTCTAGCACAACACCAGTAGAATAATCATCCCTTAAATACTTTCTACTTTGCCTTGAAGAACTTAAAAATGACAATTCATCTTCCTCCTTTATAGTGCCAAGGCTACTTTTACCCTCAACAACCAACTTGATATTCTCCATGAGTTTTTCTTCACTTCTTGGTTTTAGAACTACAATCTCTGACTCACCTTGTCCTTGTAACATTGCCACCACTTGCTCCATGCTTGGTCGTTGCTCTGCTTCATTTTGGATACAAAGCAAAGCAATGTTGATTGCACGATGAACCTCCATCTTTTCTTCATCTTTCAAAGTCATTGTTTTGTCTACTAAGTCCATTAATTTATCTTGTCGATACAAATCCCATATCTGCATAATCACCAAATCAACAAGCCATATAATAATTTCTAAAAAAAAAATTTATATTTTATAATTATTTAGTTTTATTCATAGTTATTTTAATTATATAAATAAGAATTATCACTAAGTAAAACCATCATTTAAAATAAAAAATAGAAACACCAAACAGATACAAAATAAAAAGAATCTCTTACCCATCTAGTTAAGTAAACTTTGTCAAGAGGATATTTCTCATCAATATTTCTTCTTCCACTTATAATCTCCAAACATAAGACTCCAAAGCTAAATACATCCACCTTATCACTTAATTGACCAAGTGATGCATATTCTGGTGCCAAATATCCCCTATGCACATAAAAAATCCAATTGTACTTAAGAGATTGAACATAAATAAATCTGAATATTTTATCTTATAACTTAATACTATATTTATCTTTTAAATTTAATTTAATAATTTTATATAAAACAAAATACTATATATTTTTCTTTAAAATAAAGTCTACTTTCTCTAACTACCAAGAAAATGGCAAATACAAGTACAAAGCCTAGAGCCGAACTTTTACAACTTGAAATAACTACTAAACTTACTTGGTACCAGCAACATGTTTAGTCAATATGTAACTTTGTTCATCAGGAAAAAACAATGCCAAGCCAAAGTCTGCTATCTTGGCTTCATAATACTTGGTTATTAAAATGTTGCTAGCTTTAATATCACGATGAATGATCTTTGGATGTGCAAGTGCATGGAGGTAATGTAAACCACGAGCCACTCCTAAACAAATCTTTAACCGTACATGCCAATTTAAGAGATTCTTATTTGAACTTGCTGTAGCATCACAACAATAATATTATTAGATAAAAAAAAATTATGAATTTTCGAAAAATTAAATTGTGTTATAAGAAGTGCTAGATTAATTCTAGCAAAGAATACATTTTAAGAAATTGAAAAATAATCAAGGCTACATAATTCAATGTTCCAAAAATATTATTTGTAAAAATTCAAAAAAAAAATAGAAGATTAGAATACAAAGTTGAGAATTTAACTTACTTAGAAGAACTTGATCAACGTCACTATTATCCACATACTCATACACCAACAATCGTTGTTGCTCACGAATACAACAACCTTTTAAGTTCACAAGGTTCCTATGCTTCATTCCAGTTAGCAAAATAACTTCATTTAAGAATTCATCTACACCTTTAGAAGTCTTGGCAAATAGTTGTTTTATAGCCATTGTATTTCCATTTGGCAATGTACCCTACAAATAATAAAAAACATGGGTCATTTCTTTAGAAACAATCTATATTATAATTAAAATCAATTGTCTACTACTTGACACTTGACACCATGGGATGCACATACAAATGGTAAATCTATTGACATAGGGATTAACATTTAGATCTCCAAAGTCTACTCAATGTTGTTGAAATTGTACCTTGTACACTGCCCCGAAGGCTCCCTCGCCCAACTTCAAATCAGCATTGAAGTCTCGTGTGGCAGTTCGAAGCTCGCTGTAGTGGAATATAGTTGGTTTAACCTCAAACTCCTCAAACCCTAAGGTGATTACAAACGTAAGTGCTTCTCTACATAATCCAGTTTCTATAAGCCCATGCTCAAACTAGAAAAGAAATTATTCAGCTGTTACATTTGCTCTTGTAAATTTTTAAATTGAATAAGTTGTGAGCCACAGTCAGCATGCCAAGTTCAATACTTCGAACTACCCGAGGTGCAGATAAATTCTTACTTTGTTGGACCTGAAGCTGGAGATATCGCTTGTACTTTGTGTTTCTATACAATAGAGCAGCCAGACTGACCAGGAGGATCAGCAGTGATGTTACACTGACCACCACTGCGATTATCACAATCTTACGTTTGCTATCTTCCGTTGAACCTGAAACAATATACAAAAATTTTAAAAATTTTAAAAACTCTTTGAAGCACAGTTGTCAAGAGCATGAGAATGACATGTTAATTTGACCTCTAGTGAGAGAAGTAAGACCTGAAATGGAGCAGAATTGTTCACAGAAACATCTCGTCCCGTCATTGGGATCTGAAAAATTGCAGAAGGGATTCTCTTGTAGTCTGCACAAAATCAACAAAAGAATTCAGTAACCAATGTTAACCATGAATTGAATTCCAATTATGCAATTCCGTGCGCAGACTTTTCAGCATGATTAGTACACAACTACTTAAAGCCAATGATTGATTTTTCGTTCCATCCACCACTGTTCTACAACTCTTTCTCATGCGAGCTGATCTATTGATGATCGTTGATTTCCCTAATAGGATCAATCTCTATCAATCGCAAGGACTTGCTCACTTGATAACTGTGGCGGTGTTTGCGATATCATTCACATCGTAGATAACCTTGCTAATGTTGTTGTTCATCAATGAAAGTACTCTTAGAACGCTTGATGTTGAGTTTGTGGATGATGATGAGTTTGTAATTTTAGTCCTGAGCAAGCCCAGGGCATGAAGTTGACTGATGTTCAGTGTCCCATTAATGAGATTGTTGTCTAGATACCTGTAATGCCGAGTATCTTGTAAGGCCACTTCCACACAGCATTTTGATCAACTACATTGCAGGAATTTAAATCTTCAATTCAACCCAATACAAATATAATGGCATGCATTTTCAGCATGATAAACAAAGCATGATACAAAGTGCGCGATTAATTCATCTAGACACCAAATTTCTATAATTTAACTCTTGGTAAATTTAGCTTACAGTTCCTGAAGGGAGCCAAGTTCCGAGATGTTCCAAAAATTGGGATCGGTTGTCAGTTGATTGAACGACAGATCCAACACTGAAAGACTGTTGTTCTCAGTTCTGTTAAAAAACGACGACAACAAAACCGCTCCTGTGAACGCATTCCTGCTCAAATTCCTGTGGACATCATAAATACAGGAATCAGGGCATCTTATCCTCTGTTGCTCTAAATTCAACATATGTCATGTTCTTCCTGAGCCTGACCAATGGCAAATATATGAATCTCTCGCAAGAAAAATTGTGATATATCATGTGTTGCATTGCCTTAAGATTATTTTTTAATAAATAAATTGACAATCTAGCAACATAACTTCAAAGTTATGCTTATACGTGTGAGTTACTACATACATATCATGACCATTCGAAACTTACACACTGCGTAAGGAATGCATCGTTGTCAGGTCTGGCAGTGTCCCGGTAAACATGTTACTGGACAAGTCTCTGTCAATCCCACACACAAGAATAGTGAGAGGTTGCCACCACAACAAACCATCTATTGATCATCTACCCTTGTCATATATCGTTTTTTTTGCACTCTGAAAGTTTGACGTCAAACTTCAACTCCCTAAATGCAATTCGATTCCTTGGATACATCTAATATAATTATATGAGTGAATGTTTGCCATAGATTACAAGAACCAGACAGCTCAGAAAATAGAAATGGCACTCACAATACTTGGAGGTTCTTAATCGTTTTAAGAGTAGGCGCAGTTCCATTCAAAGCGTTGCTAGAAAGATCCCTGCATGCATCCAGAACCGAACCTCAGCCTTCCGAGACTAGTATGTTAAGATTGCCGATGGGGACAAGGAGATTAAGTTAGGTGAATTAATTCACTCGAAAACGGGAGTCTATGGGTTACATATTTGAATTCAGGTTCTTACAGTTCGACAAGCTGGGTAATGTTCTCAAGGGCTGGTTCTGGTATCGGCCCTTTAAAATCATTTCTGGCGATGTTTAATATCTGAAGGAACACCATATTCTTGATTTGAAGATACGGGAAGGACCCATTAAACTTGTTGCCACTGAGGTCTCTGTTGAAGTGCCAATTCATTTCGTCAAATGACCATGGTCTGTGTGGTGGTAACAATTGAGATGAAAATTCACAAATCATGGTTTGGCACACTACTGTAGCAGCAAGCTTACAATGTCAAGAGCGACTCGTACTCATCCCCAAAAAATGGGAACTCCCCCTCAAACGCATTGTCATGAAGATCCCTGGGACAGGAAGTGCGGCAGAACAATTTTTAGGATTTGCATCAGCAACATGTAACTGCGATAGCATATCCGTATCGGAACTAGTTATGTATATATTGCATAATATTTATGCAATTCAAATGCAATGGAAGTCTTTAAATGTATAACTTAGTCACGTTTGACAAGAAAAGCAGAAAAAAAATTCGAGTCTTACAGAACGTAAAGGCTAGTCTCATTCAATGTCACTGGAAGAGGTCCGGTGAGTTGTGGATTTCCTGTCAGCTCCCTGCAGCACACAACCCACCCACAAGTGTCGTCGTCCGTGAAGAGGAATCTAAATAAATGCATAGCTTGAACTAACATTGAACATTTCACAGTCCGTCGCCATTTGATCCCTTGCTATTTTAGGGCTGTACCATCGGTAGACTCCAATTTTCATTAACCAAGGTCACCCTGGATCATGAATTCTTATCAGCAGGTTATTTCAAAATCAAGGGCAGTTCAGAGGCTCACAGTGTAGTCAGCGTGGAAATGTATCCAATATCTCGTGGTAGAGAGCCTACAATTGATGCATTTTGTAGAGTCCTGTGTGTCGTGGCGATTAAACCTTCCATAATCAGAAATCTAATGTATATAACACGAAGAATCACAATCAAATGTACATATAAAATGACCTACAACGTTGGCAGCACTTCTACCCCGAGTTGTGTAGGAGCAAAATTCGATTCCAGCATGAGCAACACTTAAGCAACAGATAAAATCAAAGGAGTGAACACTCACAGGCCTATGATATAAGTACTGCAATCTCTGGTCGTATTCTCTTTATTTGTGTAAAAACAGTTGATGTACTGGAGACACTGCACCCCACGCCAATTGGGAGCTATATCTTCTGTCACATCTTGGTTGCAAGGGTATTTTTGAGACTCGTTCCACCCTGCCAAGTTACTCTCAATCTTGGGAGTGCTCTTCCATGCTTTCAAAAGGGCTTGCAGCCCGTCCACTGCAAGTTATTCCCGACAATAGTTCATTTGAAACAACCCCATGTAGACACAGAGTCCTCTTCTTTCACACCAGCCTCATAAGTAGAATAAAGTTTCTTCATCCTTTTACAAGCACTTCCAATTTTCCAGCCGACGTCCAACCATGCGGCGAAATCAATCAAGAGCTGCCTCAATTCACAGTGTCCAACACCCTCTTCGCTGGCTAATTGTGTAACCTCACACATGTTCACACACAGGAAGGAGTAGGATTACTTACGTTGTTGAGATTTATAAGTTTGCCAAGTGAATAGTCCATCGCAAATAGACGGTGTGCACAACAAGACGAACAAAGCTGCGAGGAAGCAAGGTTGGTGGACAAGGGGGTACTTCTCGATGCCCAATCTAACATCCATGGCGGTTTCAGTTTGATGCACTCTTCTGCCAGTACGAATATACTCTGACTATGGTGTCGATAGAGACATCAAATCACTTGATGGCACAGAACATGTAGATCTTCTTCAGTGCTGTGCCAACTTGACATCGACTGCCTCTACCGATTTGGGAAGTGACCCTGAAAACATTGTCGATAAGAACCACCAGCAATTCACGCAGGTGTTGATGGTGGAGCAATTCAACTTGTTGTCATAGTCAAGCGGCACACACCATGACGCAAAGGAGCCTCTTAGGTCAAGCTGGTCGTGGGTCAGGGCTCTGCCGCGTGCGAGATATTCAACACTGGTTACAGAATACGCCAGGGAGAAGACCGGTCACTTCGAGTCTGGTCTCCGAGTTGTGTGACAACCGTTCTCGGGCACTCTCCTGTTTTTAATGGCGAAATGAGTCGTTGGATCACCCACGTTTTGAGATCAACAATATTTTGAGGCGTTCAACAATGTATTCGACACGAGAGGAACATTCGAGCACGCGGTGACTAGTTCTAAAACTAATTCACAACATCGCTTTTCGAGCCATCGAACTTGCATCATTTGCTGGGACCCACAGAACATGCAGAACCCCAGCCCTATTCGTACTCTTCCACACATCAATTCTTATAGTGGTTAGGTCCTAGTCCACGTAAGGGCTGATCAATATCAATAGGCCGTAGAACTCAAACTTGGAATGTGAATCGGCAACGAAAACAGACTGTTCGCCACCCAAAATTAGATTTCTAGCTATCCGGTTTTGCGGCGGGTCCCGCATAGAGGATATCTTGCTGAGGGCTGTGCTTCGTACAAGCTCTGAAGAAGCTCGATAGCCTCTCCTTTGCTTTAATTAACAAAATTCCAGATTTCAGAAGAACAGTAGTCCGCTTCAAGTGTTTAACTTCGACTCTCATCGTCAGCTTTGATGGTTTGTTGATCAGCCTTTAATTTAGCGAATAAGATGATTCTTTAAAGGGTCCCTTTCCTGATTGTAGAATTGAATCACGCGCACTACTTTGAATCGTCACTGATACTCCAGCCTAACGTCTTTCAATCCAACAGAGGAATATAAAGTTTTGACCAAACATCTCTTAAGCGGAGCTGTTATTTGACTATCACTTTCCAACTAAACCTAAGACAACAAAATCTTGACCAAACATATCTTTCCACCATTAAGAACAATATCATCATCTACATAGTTCCTCAGTACATCAACAATTACTTCTACATTAATTACTGCTATACAGCAACTTGAATTGTGGAAATTTTACTGTATAGACATTGTCTGATTGCTTAACTTCACAATTTTAATCCACAGTAGCCCATTGCAACTAGAAGTGCGGTTGCTAATTAGTGTGGCAGCTTTGTAAAGATGCAATAACTAGTAACAATTAACCCTTGATAATGCGGCAGTCTGGAGGCATAATTATCACGACGTGGGAAACAAATGCTGACCCTAAACCCTACATCCTAAACCAAAATATAATAAGTTCACACACAGCAGATGACGTACAACACTCATCACAACCACCGCTACAAAATACTGAGGGCTAACAGTAACCCATCCTTCAATTTCGGCCCTTCCGATGCAGGAGATGATTCTTTTGAACAAGTACCTACCACCTGAGACCCCCTCAACACTCCACTTTCAAGTCATGAGACATTGCTGAAGGTATACAATGGGTAGCAAGGATCTCCGGGGTAGCAGCCTTGGCTGTCTGGGTCTCCAGAATCACAATCTGCACATACCCATTTGTACAAAATACTTTTTCAGGAGCATCCTCTTCGCTCAAAAACTCTTCTATCAAACCAACCCAAATTAAGACCAACGCACGCCTCATACGAATACCGGTATCCAAACAAGAACAGACACCTCAGTCTCATACCCTTCGCTTTAGGTTTACAGCTCTAAACCCACACACCAAGGCTCACGTACACTTCACTCCCATCCCAACGTTTCTACATTACGACTACACGGTTTCGCATGTTGGACACACCTGCTGGTAATCAAGACCGAACCGCAGAAATGGGTCCGTGCACTTCTCCACCAAGTTTGCCAAATGCTTCAGATTTCTCACAGGAGTGTCATTGAAAGCCACAACCTGCCATCCATGACCAACCAACAGTAACACAAACCATCAAAACAGTAATCTCCTTCCCAACTACAACCACAATTCTAACAACGTCCACACACAATTCATGCGCCGGCTTACATTGCCACCCATTCACGCCTCCCGACCAACACAGAAACTCCTTCTGAACCCTTGTGGAGCGGTCACCCACCTGCGTGTTCACAATATCTTCATAACCTATGTTGATATCCGCCACCAGCACCTGACAACCTCATCAACGCCGACAAGTTCGTCAGTAGACGACATTGATTTGTATTTTTGGTTCGAATCCAAATCACATATTTTCAAATGTTGTATAATGTACTCAAACCGACAATAAACAACATATGAAAAACAGAACACCCCATGATGGAGGGCGTCCAAAACCCTTCCGCAAAGAACATTCGCATACTTCAGGTAAATTCAAAACATCGAAAATGCACCGGGACGGAGTATAAGCACCTGGGACACGACGACGAGCTGCTCATCTTCAGACTGAGACATCGAATGTAGCAGCTTGTCCAGCAGCTTCACTGGAGCGTCATAATCGTAGTCCTTCCCATACTGCCACATCCCCCGACAACAACCAGTTATCAATCATCCTCATCGTGAACCCCACAGGAGCAAAAGGGGACGGGCTTTACAACCAAAAAGGCTGAGAATCGAAACACAAGAAGAGAACAATCGACCTGAACTAACCCAGTTCAAATTTCACATCCAGAAGATTAAATCCACCCCCAAATTCAACTCCACGTCCTCCGATCAACAAACACTTTTTCTGATGCCCACCTACAAAATACCACCGTGAGTGAGTCTCTAGCCACTTTAACCATCACGCCCTGTTCATCCTCCACATCCTACCATGTCATATTCCACTGCACACGAACCTCTGAGCGAAGATAAGGCACGGAGATGGCCGCAAACACGATGCCTGCCAGTATGTAGTACGACGGTGGCTTCCCCTTGATGTGCGCAGGTACCAGCCGTTTGTGGTTCACCAGATCGATATCAAACTCCTTCGACTTCCCATCCCTCAAAATCTTCACCTTGGCACACTCGCCGCTGTATTTCTTCGATACCAAATAACTGAACCCGATTCGTTCACCGTGCCTGAAGGGAACTTCATTTCCATGCACACACATTCACACCTACATCAGCACTTGCCCGCCCACCATCCGCAGTAGCCGGAATCTCAAGTTACACGTACAAACATCGTGTCCACCACCGCCCACCGAGTTTGGGACGACTTCGTCAAGTTTGGCAAGGGATCCGTACCGGTGCCGTCGTTTGCAATATCTATGCCATCGAAACTCATCAGGATGTCTGAAGCTCGCAACTGTGCGAATGCAGGTGCAGTGGGCTCCACGCGTCGTATGCGAACACCTTTCTGGGTGCTCTTCATTCCCAGCGCCTTCCGAAGATCAGGGTTTTCCATCTTTTGCCATTCGATACCCAAAATCGGAAACCCTGCAATGTTCGCATCACATACACCGCATGATTATCCACCCACATCGTGTACTGACTCGAAGTAAGCACCACAGGCTACTACAGCCTCGCCATGAAACCCAAGAACCAGGATGTAATAATGCAGACATATAACAACCGAGCACGACGACCCTGCCTTCACATGTGCAAATCACATAATTGCATTCCCTCTACCACGCGCAACGCGTAAACGCCACCTTATGTCCTACTACCTGTGTAGTCGTTGTTGCGGACGTAATCCGTAATAAAGTGATCAATGACCGGGGTGGGAATAACGTATCCGATGTTCTCAGCATCCTCGTGCTTCAGCGACTGAAAAGCGATTCCCACGCATTCACCTCTGTCGTTGAAAGCAGGGCCTCCAGAGTTCCCAGCATTTATAGCAGCATCAATCTGCATTCCCACCAAGAAAGCAAGTAAATCCAGCAACTCCCCAAAACAAGTCCCACAACCCCAAAACCAAAGAAACCCATGCAACAGATGTGCGCTGAGAGAAAAAGTGAAGTGTGAAACTGAACATATACTTACACATTCACCTCTCAAAAAATATTACAACAAAAAAAAAAAAAAAAAAAAAAAAAAAACCAAATCAACACAAAAAGGCACTAAAGTCATCTCGACATCATTCCTGCTCTCATTGCTCCCAGCGCAGTCAATCTCCCAGTCCTCTGAGCTGCCACTGCCTCCAACCAACTACGTACACTGACCACGGGCTACATCTGGACCCTGTCAAGTCGGCACGACTTGATGATGCGATGGACTTTTGCACCTCAGCATGTTCGCGAAATGTCGAGGCACACCAAATGTCTCGTGCATGCTTCGGAGTCGCTACGCACAGGGAGTTGCGTGCTATACATCCTGCCCCGAATCCGACAGGGGCTAAGCTGTCTACTCAAACTAGTACGTCCACAAACGCCCGCATCTTTTTCTAAAAATACTCAAGAGCGGAGATTGCCCTTCTCGACTTCGCATCCATACTTAATGGTCACTCGACTCCACCTTGCCGTTCGTACTTCGGGAGGTGTAACACCACTGTTATTCGGACCAGGCCACACTCTCATGCTTAAATGTACGTGCCGGACATTCATCGATGACACCACATAGTTTCCAAATTGTGCACATGCGTGTTGCACCGCGCTCCTCACCTGCACGCCCAGCAACTCTGTTGCGCCATGCACATATGACGTGACTTCGATGCGTGACACCACGCCGCTTGTCACCGAGATAGTGTCACCGCCAATGGGATACCCCACCACCGTCACCCCGTCTTGCAGACGAGGCAAAGACCCAAAGTTCACCGGCGTCACATCCTCCCAAAACTCGTCGTTGCTGACGGTCAGCATAGCTGTGCACGCAAACGCCAATACAAATCATCAGCATCTCATCCCCACCCTCCACACATCCATCACCTCCATGTTATCCTACAACCTCACACTCCAACATTCCGACGACCTCTTCGCTTCACACCCGCACAACCATCATCCGGCAGTGACGCCAATATATTCCGCCCCCCACACCCAACACTACGGCACCCACCCACGTCCGAATCTCCGCAAATCACCAGCACCCCGCCTCTGCAATCTACTCAACGTACACGCAAGATCTTAACAGTGCGCCGCAAATCACACCACGCTCCCGTCACACTCAGCTCGTATTGCGGAGACCGCATGACCGCCTGCACGTCCTCGTACCGTACTCGGCCCCTCGCACACGCTCATGCACTGGGCAGCAACTGACCTATATCGCATTCGGTTCCAATCGCAAGCACTGTGGCCAAGTACTTTGTATCCGATCCCCGTTTCTTCACCTTCACCTGCGTATGGTGCTCCACTGAGTGCGCGTTCGTCAAAACCCGACGGCCTTTGATGATAAAACCGCTGCTGTTGGAGCTGAATTGCCGTTTCCTCTGCCATGGAAGCGAGAAATTGGGCTCCGTGTGCACGCAAAACACTTTCACCACAGCATCCATGAACGGAGCATCTTTCAAGTCGTCGTCTCTTCCGCCCGTTGCGTCCTCCAACGATGGAGCATGCCCCTTGATGTCGTCAGCGTTTCCCTGCAGGTATCAAAGCATCCACCTCTGTTAGCCCTCTGTAAACGTCCACCTCTAACGACCCCCATACTCCATTCCTCTGTGCCGCGCCCATTTTGGTCACTACCCAGTGTGGCTGCCATGTCTTTTACGAACGTGGCTTTCTGTCTATGTGCGCATCTCTCAAGTACCCCTGACAGCCATCCGCGACAGTCGTAAGCAACAATGCCAACGATCGTCCCCGATTCCCAACCTGGACTTCTCCTCAGCTCCGTGTCTGTGGTACGCTCTCTAGGACACTCTCGTGTCCGACTTTCCATTCGTTCTCAACCTCGGCTGTCACGCAGTCGCGGATTCGGGTTGGAAACTGTGCATTCCGGTGAAGGCTTCTTGACCGGCTCAACCATGAATCCTGACCCACCTCGCTCCCACTCTAAACCCTACAACATCCATCAGATTCCCGTCACCACGACCGTCCGATGCGGTCCGGGCAAATGCGCTCTCGTTCTTCACATGGGTCGCCTTCATTTGTGTTGACGCCCTATTGCGGGAACCTAGAATTACCTGTGCTACTGCCAGCTCGATTTCGACAAGACACTTGGTCACACAAAGCATACAAGTGCACGAACAGGATGATTGATGTTAGAATGTACCAGGGACGACTTCTTATTCCTCTTTCTGGCTACTCCCTCCGCAGGCAACTCGCTGTCGTCTCCCACAGACTTGGAAAGCTCCCGATCGCTGGAGCTTCCTCCTCCTCCGTCGGGCGTGATAGGAGCCAGCCCTTCTACCTTCTCCGCCACGGGCTTCTTCCTCCCACGCTGGCCCGACCGAGGATCGACAGGCGACACGGCAGGGTCCGCCAAGTCCACAGGGACGGGAGTGGAAGGAGAGAGAGAATTGTACTCGTTCAAATCCGATGCGACGCGTGACTTGAGAGAATCGCTTGGGGCGGCTTTGGGATGCTTGAGCGGGCGCCCCCGCTTGCGAGGAGGTGGCTCCATGGCTCCTGGAATAGGTAAGAGGAAGGAAACGAATTAGCTGAGCATGCTAGAGAAGGGCGCAAGCAGGAGCAGGAGAGAAGGGGGCGACGAGGGACAGAGGGACGGCGGTGCTGTGGTGCGGCGTCCTCATGGCGTGGAGCTGGACGCTTT